CTTCGCAACACACACTTGAAATATCGGGGAAAAGGACTGTTAAAACGATAATGTAAGTTGAAAGATTTTTTAATTTTTTCTGACATTGATTTAATTCGCGTATTATATCCGTAGCATGCTCAAATGTCGCATAACTTGGCATCTCAGACCAATCGCCTTGCATATCTATTGGTCAACAGCGAAGAATCGTTTCAATTTTATATTTTAATATTTAACTAACTTTGTATTTTTAACATCTAACTTTATATTTTAATATTTAATTTTTATGTATTGATAAAGACTGTAGTGCAGTCGAAACGTTTACAATTTATATCGATTCTGTAACGGAATGTTAATTTAATGATTTAACTATTAATAAAAAATTTTTACATCTTATTTATTTGCTCGTTTAGTTGGCCTACTATATATGATTGTTTAATTTTGTTTAATTTATACGAGCCTTATAATTAAAATTTACATAATATATAGATTTTTGATTTTATATATTTTATCATATTTTTATTATTATTAATAGGAGGAGACGCGGTAGTGTCTCCGGCCATGTTCAAACCCTAAGAGACCTTAAAAGACACTACAAGTCTCCTTATCCTGCACCATCAAAGTCCATTTTTTTGGGGTGTAGAACTACTAAAATATAAAAAATTTTGAATTGCACGTAATATAACCTAAAAAGCGGCATCGCCACGAGTATTTGAGTCAAGAAAAAATAAAATCGGTCAAGCCGTTCTGGAGATACAAGCGGTCAAAAAGTGACGTTTTTCATGAAAAATGAAGTAACGTCGTCTTCTTCTTCTTCTTCTTCTTCTTTTTTTCTTCTTCTTCTTCTTCTCTGTCCGCGTCCGCTGACGTCATCAGGATTATATATATATATATATATAGATATATATATATATATATATATATAAATCTCTTCTCACCTTTACTTCCTCCCTCAACTTCCACCACCCCTTTCCCCCCACATCCCGCCCCCCGCCCCAACCCCACAAAACCACGTTCCCACCCCTTTTCGCCTCTTTCACCTCTTTCATCCTCTCCACTCTCTTTCGTCCTCTATCACCCTCTTCACCCTCTTCGTCCTCTTTCAACCTCTTTCGTCCTCTTTCATCCTCTTTCGTCTCTTTCGCCCTCTTTCACCTCTTTCGTTCCTTTCACCATCTTTCGCCTCTTTCACCCTCTTTCGTCCTCTCTCACCCTCTTTCATTCCCTCTCACCTCTTTCACCCTCTTTCATTCCCTCTCACCCCTTTCGTCCTCTTTCACTCTTTTCGTCCTCTTTCACCCTCTTTCGTCCTCTTTCACCCTCTTTCGCCCTCTCTCACCCTCTTCGTCCTCTTTCACTCTCTTTCATTCTCTCTCATCCTCTTTCACCTCTTTCGTCCTCTTTCACCCTCTTTCGTCCTCTTTCGTCCTCTTTCGCCCTCTTCACCAATTTCGTCCTCTTTCACCCTCTTTCGCCTATCTCGTCTCTCTTACCCTCATTCGTCCTCTCTCACCCTATCTCCAAAAATCATAAAAATGAAAAGGTCAAGCCATGTTCAAAAGAAGGTCTTCAAAAATTTAAACCTAGTCTGTACAATGAAAAATAATTACTCGTAATTCCAGAGTTCCAATTTGGTAATATCGAATAATGTATTTGTTTCAAGTAATGGCAGTAGAGTTAAATACATACCTACGTATATGCAGTTTTGCTGTTAAATGTACTTGAACGAAAAAAATAATTAAATGATTTAAATATAGCACATTTTAAATCAAGAAACTTATACTATAATCGAACTCTGTTTAGAAAGAATGTTTGTTTCAATCACAATCACAATACCATTTTCTATTATTTCTCTTATTATTATCAATAATGTTATTCACCAAATAATTATAGTATGAATAATGTTTTGCGATTTATTTAACAATTCATAATATGTTAGGGTTATAAAGTTTTATCTATAGGGTTTTTATTTAAATAAAATGAAGAATATATATATGTATATTATTTATTAATATATAATGTATCATATTATATATTATTATATACTATTCGGCGTTTCGCCGTCCCCGTCCTCGTCCGCCCCTCCTCGGCCTGTTGCCCCAATAATAATGGGGCGAGGACAGTTTAAGGAGGAAGCGCATAAAGCGCTCCTCCTGGACGCGAACTCCGGCGCGTCTTCCTCTGTAAACTGTAATTAAAAAAGAAATTATTTTAGTAATTAGATAATATGGTATATTTAGGTATATCTAGGTATGGTATAAAATAATAAATGTATAATATGTTATAATAAAATGTTATAATAATATAAGGTTAATATTTATATAAATATATAAATATTTTATTAATTAGAATATATTTAATAACTATTATAAATTTTTATAATCATTTATTAAATTAATAATTGTTGCGGAATGCACTGATTAAATTAATTTTGATCGGGAATAGAGGGAAGAAGGGGTTGATTGTTAACAGCTGAGAATATGGTTAAAAAAGGTTTATTCGATCTTTCACAAAAAAAACTAAAGTTGTCGATCTTTCACAAAAAAACTAAAGTTTCGAGTTCGAATTAAACACACTTGGCGAACGGTGGACAAAAATTTTAACGAGAACGGACGGACATCTTGTGCTTGATCGTAATTGCTGCGCGCGTACTCGACGAAAATCTTCTCGCGATAATTTTTACAAAGATCGCAGCGATCAAGAGCCGAACGCGGATGCGCGATGCACCGTTCGCGAAATCGAGGTCTCTGAGAGTCTCCGGAACACTGTAATATCGGAGCACGTGGTGATACATGCGGTCGTAATTGCAGCCGAGCTATGCATATTTCACAAATAAAACTGAAATAATGGAAAATATCGCTTGCCCAATATTCTACAAATTTTTGCCGATGACCGGCGGAAAAGAATCACTTTCGTGACTCGAAGGATTATGTGAACCACGCGTGATACGAATCTCCAATAACGAGGCAATGTGTTAATACACTGAGAGCCGGAACAAGAAGAAGGAACGGAAACGAGGAAGGATATTAGCGACTCAGATAGGCATGATCGGGGGTGCGCGACAGATCCTAATCGATACACCGCGCACTTGAGTTGGCGAAAAAGGACCGCGAATGCGAATTGCAAAGAGGTGTGAGAAGGATCGGCTACGCGCTATGCCTCGGTCGCGTGGAATTCGTGATTCGCTAATGCGACGATTTATGGTTCTCAATATATTTGATCGCGCGACATTAAAACTTTTCGCGGAGACTCTCAATTATTTTCAACGGTTCCGGAACATACCGCCCGTCTCGAATGATTTTATTCGAGTAAAGACTATAACGCTTACAATTTATGACTAGAACGCTTACAATACGAATATGGAAAGTTTTTTTTTTTTAAACAAATGGTGCAGTACAATAATTTTTGAACATTATTACTTAATATAAGAGTTTAACAAGGCTCTGTAATATAAATATAAAATTTAACGTAAAGACGGGCAACAAGAGCCAAATCGCGGATGACAATACGTTATCCTAACGAAACAAATAATTCTTCGTTAGAATTAAATACCGGTGCACAAGGCACCAAATTTTACTGGGACCGGCCAAGATTTTAAATATGAAATAATCTCATATTTTGAGATAATTTCAATACCCCTTAACCCCCCTACGGAAAATAAATAATGAATGCAAGGAAAAATATAGATCGAAATCGCTGAATCGGAACGAACCCGTAGGGGGGTTTAAGTTAAAGGGGTATTGAAATTAAATCTCAAATAGGAGATTATTTCATATTTAAAATCTTGGCCGGTCAAGTAAAAATTTGGTGCCTTGTGCACGGTATTTAATTCTAACGAATATTTAGTTTCGTTAGGATAACGTATTGGCATCCGCGATTTGGCTCTTGTTGCTTTATACGTTTAAATTTATATTTTATATACAAAGAGCTTGTTAAAACTATTATATTTTGATACACGATGGCTTAAAAAATGCGTTTTTTACCAACATGATATATATAAAACAGAGAAAAGTATAGAATCGAAAGGATCTGAATAGCTCAGCTGGAGAGAGTCGCCGCAAGCGAAAGGTCTCGGGTTCGATTCCCGATTCAAAGCGATTTTCGGATTATATTTTTCTCTTGCATCATTATTATTTTCCGTAGGGGGGTTAAAGGGGTATTGAAATAAATCTCAAAATATGAGATTATTTCATATTTAAAATCTTGGCCGTTCCAAGTAAAAATTTGGTGCCTTGTGCACCGGTATTAATTCTAACGAAGAATTATTAGTTTCGTAGGCTAACGTATTGTCATCCGCGATTTGGCTTTGTTGCCCGTCTTATACGTTAAAAATTATTACTTAAGTCTAATCGGAATCGGTGCCGCCCGCCATGCCGGAACTTTGATCGCTTGAAGTATTGATATCGATCGGAAGAAAAACAAATGTTCAATTGGACGCTTATACTGTGAACGCGCGGTGCGCACGGTAACGACGCGAACGAGTCCGTCGTTGCCGGGATGACATTCGATGATACGTCCGAGCTCCCAGTGAGACGGAGGAGCAAGTGCGTTCCGCAAGAGAACGATTCGGCCTACAGTCGCAAGTCGTTGCGCAATTTTCCATTTTGGCCGCTGCTGCAACGTTAATAAGTAGTCGTTTGACCATGATTTCCAAAATTTTTCTGTAATATGTTGCAACAATTGCCAGCGGGAAAGACGAGTTTCGTTAAGATCGAGAACGCTTGGCTGTGGCGCAGCTAAGATGGGTCCCCCGATGAGAAGTGTCCCGGTGTTAATACATGATAATCATCGAGATTTTCGGACACAGACCCAATAGGTCTCGAGTTAAGACACGCTTCGATACGACAAAGAACAGTATTTAATTCTTCAAATGTGAGCGTATGTGAGCCGATACAGCGCTTTAAATGGTATTTGACGCTGCGTACAGCAGCTTCCCATAATCCACCGAAGTGGGGAGCGGAAGGAGGCACGAAATGCCAGTTTATTCCGTCGGTCGAAAGCGTTTTGCAAATCCGAATTTTTTAAAGCCTGCGCGATTGCGAGTTTAAGTTCGCGATCGGCACCTTGGAATGTGGTTCCATTATCCGAATAAATCGATGCAGGGTATCCGCGACGAGAACGAAACGATTTAATGTGGCGAGAAAAGCGTCTGAAGAGTAGTCGCTAACGAGCTCGAGATGGATCGCCTTTGTCGTCATACAAACGAACACGGCAATATAGGCTTTATGCGCTTTATGACCTCGTCCACGAGAGGTTCGTACAAGAATTGGACCGGCATAATCGACACCGGCATGTTCGAATGCTCGAGCTGAGCGATTTACTCTTACATTCGGAAGATCGCCCATGAGCTCGTTAGAAATCTGAGCCCTTTCTCGTGTACATGATACACATTTGTAGAGTACAGCGCGAACCAGAGATCGTGCTCGCAGAATCCAAAATTTCTCTCGGATCCGAGCTAATGTTAATTGAGATCCAGCGTGCAACATTCGTCGGTGGGTGTCCATGATGATCATCCTGACCAAGGCATGGTCCTTTAGGACAATCGGATTGCGAACGGCGCTTTGTAAGGTGGCGTTCCTTAGCCTGCCACCGACTCGAATTATTTGATCATTATCGAGATAAGGATTTAATGAAAGCAGTGTGCTAGATTTCTTGATTGGAGTTGCCGTACTGAGTGCTGATATCTCGCTATGAAACAATTCTGATTGAATGTAACGAATCCAAAAGATTTCAGCGGACTTAATTTCAATCGGATTTAGGTAGATCGGAGCTCTAGGGTTTTGTATCTTCAGATTGAGATTGATATGTCGAGAGCGGGAATTCGTTACGAATCGATAGATGTATGCAGTTATTTGAAGGAGTTTGTGCCATGACGAATAACGTTGTGATAGGTCCCACGATGCGACAACGGATGTAGTGAGCGATTGTGGTTGCGCGCGTTGCTCGCTTAGCGCGTGGGGATCGAAATCCGAGTCAGATTTTGGCCAATAATCGGAAGATTTAATAAGCCAATCGGGACCTGACCACCATTGAAGGTTTGTGGCAAGGTCGTCGGGAGAGATCCCGCGCGATGCGCAGTCGGCAGGATTTTCCTTTGTTGGGACATGACGCCATGGAATGTCCGGAAGTAGCGTGTGAATATCGGCTACTCTATTCGCTATAAATGTCTTCCATGTAGTAGAAGGTCGGCTCATCCAGGCAAGAGTAATTGTGGAATCGGTCCAACAATAAACATTACCTCACGAAAGTCGAGAGCTTCGCGAATGAAATGAATGAGCCGTGCGAGTAATTGAGCTGCAGATAACTCGAGTCGCGGAACACTCATTACTTTGACAGGAGCGACTTTTGATTTTGCGGCAAGAAGATTGACCGAGACCATTCCATCCACCGTGACAACGCGAATGTACACCGCTGCAGCGTATGCTTTGGTAGATGCATCCGAGAATCCATGCAACTCTAGATGCAGTACGTGATGGCCGAGTTGAATCCAACGTGGAATCATCACCTCTTCTAGATGTTTAAGATGAGTATGATACTGCTGCCAGGCTTCAAGCAGATTCGGCGGAGCGACTTTGTCCCATTCACATTTAGCGATCCAAGTCGTTGCATCAAAATTTTGGCGCGAATAATCACTGGAGTTGCCCATCCAAGTGGATCAAAGAATTTGGCGATGTCGGATAAAATTCTTCTTTTGGTGTTGCCAGGAGGCCCGTAATCGTAATGGTAAATTTGAAGATGTCGCGATCTGGTTGCCAAGTAAGACCGAGAATTTTCAAGCTCTCATCTTCGTTTAGATCTCGGCTTTGAGCGAGACCGTGGTCGGTATCTTCGATCTCGTCAAGGAGTTCGGACACGTTGCTTGCCCATTTTCGTAGCGTGAATCCACCTCTTTTGAGAAGAGAAACAATCTGCTCGCGAGTTTGACGAGCGAGAACCTTGTCGTCGGCGCCGAAGATAAAGTCGTCGACGTACATTTGACGATCGATAACGGATGTGGCTAATGGAAATGAAGCGCCTTCATCTATGGCGAGTTGATTCATGACCTTCAAAGCTAAGTACGGAGCTGAAGTCATGCCGTACGTTACGGTACAGAGACGATACTCCTCAACTTGATGTGGGAGATGGCCGCCAGAAGATGCGTTGGAAATCACGATCGCGAGGATCGACTTGAATTTGGCGATACATTTTTGCCACGTCGGCGGAATAAACGTATCG